AACAGCTGCATGTACATGTACCTGTTCTTGCAGTGTTTTTGTGACCTGTAGCCTTCTGCATTGTTATTTTCGCATTAGACATTTTTTAGCAACTCTCTTCATAGTGTATAAGTAATATTATGTACATATTATACATGTACATGTACATGTACCTGCATTCAGCGGTGCTGATCCGCAGCCATAGTCGATATGGAAAAAAGTTAAAAAAACAAGCTTCTCCTTGGTTTTCCACCCGCGCTGTTGTGACACAAGTTTCCATTGAGACAAGGGTGTATTGTCGTTGTGACCCTGAGTTCTATGGCTACTAGCATTCAGCCAAGATCTTTCTGTGGTACAAACAACTATAAGAACAGTGGCTCTGAAGTGAAGATCGCACGTAACTGTTACTTAGTGGGTACATATACAGACAGTGACACAGTATTTGCTCCCTGAAATCCGATCTAGCAACCCAATGCAGCCCAATGTAGTGACGTCTGTAAATCTACTACATGTACATGTACATGTACAGAGTTATAAGCGGAGACACGTCTGCATGCAACCACGGACATTGTTACAGTCAGTAATCACCAGGGAGTTGTACAGGCAACTTCGCTTATGTTATAACGACACCCGGCGGGGCATCAGAAAAGTGTCCTTATTCACGAAGTGTCGTTACACCCGAAGTCTCATTATAATTATGTATTACAGTCGGATGAGACTTTGCTCTGGGCACGAAAATTCTGTCGTTATTCGCGAATTGTCGTTATATCCGCAGTCGTTATTAGCCAAGTTGACTGTATAAACCTTTTTGGTTTACTAGTATACGACTCCCTGGTAGATTCTTAGTAGTTAATTACATGACCACACTTACTCACTATTCACTTCTTACAGTCAGTCCAGTCTAGCCCTTGGCGGATTTTGCTGCCATCATTTCTGGCATTATCTGCGGATTTTGTGTAAAAATTATGCCCTGGCATAAAAGGACTTCTGAGACCAGACGGTCGGCATAACCGTACGATGCTGGCTGAAGATTGATGCTCCAGGCATATTTAGGCATGTTACAGGAAACAATCTGGTGAATGACTGTGACCTCTTACGTTATAAGCTATGCTGTCATAGTCGTAACGTTGCAAAGTGCAAGGGTGCAGTATAGCACATCATTGGCATAATTCCAGCATAATGTAGCATAATCACTGGCATAATTTGGGCATAATGGAAAGCAAAATTCAGCAATATACCGAACATAATCCGCCAAGGGCTGTTTGTACTGAGTTCACCATACCATTAGATTGGACCGCAGCATAGTATAGCACCATCATTGGCATAATCACAGCATAATAATGTATGCAAGAACTCCGTTCATAATGACGCACAGTCATGAGTCACTCATGACATGATGCTCGCACAGTCATGATGCTCGCACAGCTACAGAGTACAGAGTCAGTCGTGATGCTCGCAAATGTTGCGCCCCGGGTGCTGCCTCGAGGACGCCAAACAGAGCTAGCTACATATACCGTATTTTCCGGGGTATAAGCCGCACCCCCTTTTTGAGGCAAAATATTGACTAAAAGACTTAAGTTGGTATTCGGAGTATAAGCCGCACCCACAAACCAAGATTTTTCACACTCATTGACAAATGGCCTTTCTACAAATAATGGTACTTGCACATGGCATTACGAACAAAAAAATAATAATAGTTTTTTTGTAGAAAGGGCGGACAAAAAAATGACAAAAGATTGCACACTCATCCGCGGCCAAAACCACCACGGCCACGTGGTCCGGATCATGTGAGTAGACGCTAGTTTGAGCCGAGGGCGAGGACTCCGACCGAGGAGTCGAGTGTGAGCTTTGGGGTTTGGGGTAGGCAGTAGGGTCGGTGGAAGCCGACACGGATTTTGTGAAAACGTCGTCTTTGCCGCCCCCTTGGCGCTGAAGTATAGTTGAGAAGACTCAAATGAATCCCACCACTAGGCGTTAGTCGTCCCTCGAGCAATTTTCGTAAGTCACTTCCCGTAACGTTCTACTGCAGTAGATCTACTGGCCGGCTGTTGGTCGTTTGGTCACGGCTTGTAAAGTTCGCCCAGCCCGAGAACGGACAGAATGGCATTGCCAATAATGGCGGGGTGCAGTCACGGCTCACAGCTGCTTTGAAGCAGAAAAGTCCTTAGCCGCACGACCGTCGACGGTGGCCTCCAGTAGCGCTAACAATTATTCCAAGGCTCCGCAGCTCGTTAGTTCTGTGCAGTCGTGCGCTGAGTGGGCGAACTACCAACACTGGAGCAAGATGGACGTCGTTCACTGCGAGAAGCTACTGGATGATTTGACTGGTATGGTAGAATTGACAATTCCCTGCATTCAAAATATAATTACTGTATTGTACTCCCCGCGTGCTAGTTTGTACGTGAAGTGTGTGGGTACAGTGAGGGCTGCGTCCCACCCGCCTGTGTGGATTCACAGGAAGTGTGAGTTACGAAGTCTGAAGAAAACGTTGAACGGTCTCTCCTTGGATGACGACTACACCATAGCTCAGTGGTTGGAGCATCGCTGGCTACAAGCGAGGGTCCCTGGTTCGAGTCCTGGTGGTGACAGTCAATTTTTTCTTCAGACTTTTCCCGTTTGTCTCTTTCCCTCAAAACCAGTTAATGTATTGTAAAATTTTAAATTTTAAATTTATACGATAAACCCACGCGTGCTCCTATTTGGAAAGCGATACCATGATTCAATGGAAAATAGCTGATCGACGGTATCTCGTTCGATGATAGCTCTGTGTTTGGCTGGATGAGATATTCAGGGTTCCGTGGTCGAGGGAAGTCCTCGTGAGCCATATGGTCGTAACCTCAATTCATTTGAATTTCTTCGACCAGCTCTCCCATAGGAACGTCGTGGAAGATAGGCGCTAGTCGCAGCCTGCCGGCCTGTCAATGTGGGCTGCTTGTTCGTGTCGAGTGTCCTCTGGACCCGAGCGCATGGTCGGAAGGCGCTGCAAGGTCCATGTGCTCAACTTTGCAGCTGGAAGCAACACCATGCTCCAGATTGATGAACTAGGATGTGCGAAGGCATGTAAAGAAGTTTATTCCACCACACGCACCCACAGACCCCCCCCCCCCCCACACACACACACATACACCACACACTGTACTGTGTTTGCTCACTGCCATCATGGAAACTGGCTGTGTGGGTCTTCCCGTAGGAGAGAGAGAGTTTTAAAAGAAATCTTGCAAAGACGACTCAATTGGCTATTGAACCGCCCAATGGCTGAGTGGCCACCGCCAACTCCCCAAGCTACGGGTGGACACACACATACACACACACACACACACACACACACACACACACACACACACACACACACACACACACACACACACATCAAGTGACTAACCAAATCTATCAAATCAAAGGATTTCCTCGAATGAAGGGTTGACCTCGATCACATATTGCATCGCCACATAATATTTTCTCCTCTGCATGCAGGGATAACTTACACACGGAAGTGTACACCTTGAATCTGCGAAGCTATCAAATCCTTCCTGTACACCATATGTGCAGCAATTCAGACCTGGACATTTGCATGCGTGCAGAAATTTGGCCAGCCTCCACTGTTCCATCTCAAAAGCTGGCTACAGCCCTGAGTGACAGTGTGTCAGTTCATAACGCAGTACACGGACACGTGATCTGCACGAAAGAACGATCATGCATAACTTCCTTCCTGGGCACCAGTGTTGTCGAATCCCAAAGCAATGCGGCATTGGCGAGTCTGTACTCTCGATGGATCACTGTCTGCACAGCATGTGCACGGACATATTTCCAGGTTGCGACACGGTGCGAAACTTCAACCTCCGTCCGAAATCTGACCCGACCTGGGTAGCGGAGGAAGTGTCCGATTTTTGGCAGAACCCCCAGGAGTGTGCTGCATGTAACTTCGGTGTAGTGAAGCTAGAGAGAATACAGTCATGTGACGTTACATCAATGCTGCATTACACGCTCATCTAAGACTGCCCGTACTGGGAATCTGGAGCAAATGTGTTCAAAAATGTAAGGAAAAAATTGGAGGCGTATCCAATTTCGAAAGAAAAGGTGTCAGCACCGACGCAATTCACACAGTTAAGTAAGCCAATTTAGTAACCGAACGTTTTCGTTCCCTTTGCTTTAGCTGTAGCTCTATAAGTTGCTGTATTTTGACATTTTTCCATTATTCCCTGAACTTACCCATGATGATAAGGGAACGAAAACGTTCGGTTACAAAATTGGCTTACTTGACTGTGTGGATTGCGTTGGTGCTGACACCTCTTCTTTCGAAAAAGGTGTTCAACATTGAAATAAAATTCTTACATGTGCCGTAATAAGAAAGTAAAATGAAGGGGACGCTGAATGTAGCGTAATGTCGTGTATAAAACCCAGGCGTATTCCTGTAGAAGCTGATGTCACCGCTAGACTTCTATTCAAGTCCGGCTTCTGTTCGAAGCACGTATCTCTATGTACCGGATTATCTCTAATCATAAGCACAGTCTCCAATAATAGCACGTCTCCAATAATAGAACACCTTGGGGTGGCATTCAAAAAATAAAGTGCTCAGTCTCCATTATAAGCACACTGTGTAAATTCATTATCTGTACCGGCAAAAAAACCCTGAAATGTGTGTGTGTGTGACATGAATTTGGCATGGCAACATGCCTCTGAAATGAGGTTGAAATAATAATGGAACAGTCTCCAATAAAGGAACGTCTCCATTAATAGCACGGGGCGGAGGTGCATTGAAAAAATAAAAGGACCGTGCTTATATTAGAGATAATACGGTATGTCAATACTAAAACCAGTCATATGTGCTGACAGTGTATCTTCAAAATCAGGCTTCTATTCAAAATCAGGCTTCTATACGAGACAGGCTTTTGTACAAGACACTACAGTGTTTGAAATGAGCTGGGACGCCCCTGGATAGAATGCTATAATGCAAAGAAGTCTTAATACAACTGGTTTGACTGCCCTGTGTTGTGTGTGTGTGTGTATGTGTGTGTGGGGAG